GCTCATGTCACTGAAACACTATTATGTAATGATAGGTTTAAACCAGGACTAAGACCGAGACCGGGACTAAGACCAGGACTAAGACCAGGACTAAGACTAAGACTAAGACCAGGACTAAGACTAAGACTAAGACCAGGACTAAGACCAGGACTAAGACCAAGACTAAGACTAAGACCAGGGCTAAGACCAGGATTTAAGACTAAGACCAGGGCTAAGACCAGGAAGAAAAACAGGACTATGACTAAGACCAGGGCTAGACCAGGACTAAGCCCAGGACCAGGATGAAGACCAGGACTAAGACCAGGACTAAGACCAGGACTAAGACCAGGACTAAGACCAGGCCCAGGATGAAGACCAGGACTAAGACCAGGACTAAGACCGGGACTAAGACCAGGACTAAGACCAGGACCAGGATGAAGACCAGGACTAAGACCAGGACTAAGACCGGGACTAAGACCAGGACTAAGACCAGGACCAGGATGAAGACCAGGACTTGGACTAAGACCAGGACAAAGACCAGGACCAGGAGAGAACATGTATCATGAATAAATGAGCAAACTGACCAATAAATAAAAATAATTCAACAATATTTTAAGAAAGCAGTTCTCTTGGGGCTAATTAGATCCAGGTCCAAATCCAGATCCAGGTCCAGGTCCAGGTCCAGGTTCAGGTTGAGATCCAGATGCACTGTAGGGAATAGTGTGGACATTTGGATACAGCCGTGTTTTTATTCTGAATCTGGAAAACAAAAACTTCCAAAAACGTTGTGTTTAATAAATTCAATTAAATGTTTTCTTGAATGGCCCTAAATAACAACAGTAGTTTCTCAGAGGACTTTACAAAACTGCTGTATAGCTAATTAGCTCTTGTGCTAATTTATGTTGACGCTGTTTGCTAATCATATGGACTAATATGTACTGTCCGAAAGTGAAATAAATAAATAAATGTGTATTGATATGAATTGGCATAAAAAGGACTTAGTATAATCCCAGGTTACACGGCTGGTTTCTGTCTCGGTCTTGGTCCATACCTGGTCTCAACACGGTCCCTCTGCAGCTCTCTTTCCTCTCCCACTATCTGGATCGTCTCTTGCTCTACACACATTCTTATCAGGACCTTTCACTTCACTAATATTGACCAACGCAGTGCGATAGCGTCAACACAAATCTCCATTACCACTTTTCCTGTTTTATCGTCGGCCTCTATCTCCTGTTCTCTGGAATCACACCCTGTATTTTCCCTGTTCTGGCGTTTCAAATATCTCTCCTTTCCACCTCCTTCCCCCTCCGTCCTTCGCACTCAGCTCGCCCCCCCTCGGCCTGGATGGGGGCTGTGAGCGGTGGGAACGGCGGTGCAAAGCGTGGCCTCTTGCACGGTGCGAGGTGTTAGGGGGATTGAGAAAAGTGGTGGGGAAGAAACAGCTGGATTTAATGCAGCGTTAAGGTCAGTGGTTGTTCAAACTGCACCTGCGAGCCGCTCAAAGGCAGCCCCCTCTGCTCCGCTGGACCTTTGCCTCCTGTCGGCACCTCCACCGGCCCAGGCCACCGCCGCCACCGCCACCACTCTCTGGTTCCCAGGGTCTAAATAAAAGTCAGTCACTAAACAATGGTCATGATACTTTTCTGTTTGTTTCATGAGGAAGGTATAAAAGCTGAAGAAAAGTTTTACAAAATAAGGATTTGAAAAAAGTTGAAAATGACGTCTGCAAATGAGCACAAAACAGCAGAAGTGGAAAAGTTGCATTAATGTTTATGTTGGCAGATTCAAAGTTCAATTGGATTAAATGTTGGTCAATTTTGCTCAGTAAAATTGTGTATAATTATTGTTTAGACACTTTTTAACAAACACAGTTAAAAAATGTCTATATCTTGGAATTTGCTAAAGATTATCCGCATTTTTTTTTCGGTTTGGTCAGATTTTTATGCCATAATGTTAGTAAACTGGGCCAACACTCCTCCAACACAGAAAACATAGAATTTATTTTAGTTTTTAGTTTTTGTTTTTACCATTTGTTAATTAAAGGGGAGAAAACACACACAAAAATATATTAATTAATATATGATTCTACACAAATTTGACAGTTCAATCAAACATACAGTATATATATCACTTTTAATTGTGAATCAATCAAAGAATGCCAAACTGTGAATCTCCCTCTGGCTCTAGAAATTCTCCATTTTAATAAATCTCATAAAGTTCTCAGTATTTTCTTGTAAAACTATTATTATTATTATTATTCATAAACAAAACAGGCCTCAGTCCAGGAACTTCATATCCACATAAACGCCTGGACAATGCAAAAGTCCTAATGTCGGCCTTTCAATAGGACAATGTCACAGAACTGTTGACCATAATGTTTCTGCAGCCTCACACTCGTCTTCATCCTCTTCATCCTCTTCATCCTCTTCATCGTCGCATCCACATTATTAGACTTGGCCCGGAGCATGAAGGTCGAACCAGGCCGAGTCCGCCCACGCTGCTGCAGTTCTGTTTGTGAATCACCTGCGAGCCATTGGTATGTTTTATTTTACTGATGCAGAGTGAAAGATTTGTCAGATTTAATGTTTTTATACGTATTCATTAAACAATATACTGTTTATATATATATATGTTGTTCCATGTTTTCCTCTCTGAGCCTCCCACTCTCCGTCTGCTCTGCTCAGCCTCAGAGACAGACACGGAGCAGGTTAATGACAACTCATAATAATTGTTAGAATGTGACGATTATTTATGCGTCCCACAGCGGGGAAATGTCAGTGTTGCATCACCGTTCACAGAACACACTATGATAACTCTGTACGTGTATATTTATGTATATAACATGTATAATTTGACTCATTTAGTTGGGTAGATGTAATAATGATGCTAATAGCTACCCTAATAACAAAACTACATTAGACAAATCCTAATTCATTCATTCATTAAAAAAATACTAAAGTAGAACAATATATACAATCTAACACAGAATAATAAGGAAGAAAATCTAAAATCTCCGACTTCAAATGGACAAACTCTGAGAAACTGCTGTATCTGTAACTTGTACTTTACCCACGTCCCAAAGGAGATGTTGACAAAACATTCAGTGCAGAGAAGCGTTCGAGGCTTATATTCAACAACATGTAATCCATAAATCAAATTCAACCTATAGATTGACCTATGGATTAATCTGGGACTAAATGTAGCTGTGAGAAAGCAGGATTAGACCCGGAATCACAAATCCACTCATCCCATCAGAATTAGAATATAGTGTCTCCCAGTCCCAGGGCCCCTCCTCCAACTGCCGTCTGTTCTGTGGTGCCTGCCAGGACCCTCTCGGTGTGAGTGTGTGTCATAACAGGACCCTCTTGGTGTGAGTGTGTGTCATAACAGGACCCTCTCGGTGTGAGTGTGTGTCATAACAGGACCCTCTCGGTGTGAGTGTGTGCCATAACAGGACCCTCTCGGTGTGAGTGTGTGTCATAACAGGACCCTCTTGGTGTGAGTGTGTGTCATAACAGGACCCTCTCGGTGTGAGTGTTCGCCATAACATCTAGACTAAACATATTGAAAAGTATTCAGTCCCCGCTAAGTAGGCGCTAGTAATAATAGTAATGATAATAATAATAATAATAATAATGATAATAATAATAATAATAATAATAATGATAATAATAATAATAATGCATTAGTTTTATAAAGTGCTTTTCAGACGCTCAAAGTCTCTTCACATGTCATTATTCATTCACGCCAAACACGGTGGTGATAAACTCCTGTAGCCACAGCTGCCCTGGGGCACACTGACAGAAGCGAGGCAACCAGTCTGTGCCATCGGCCCCTCCCACCACCACCACCATTTACACACACACCAGACTCATTCTAATGTGGGTTAAACCAGGCCCTGTCCTGCTAAAGCCTAGTTTATACTCGTGCGGCACGGAGCTTACAGAGGTGACGTGACGTCACTTGCGCAACGCGTTGGTCACCGCAAGGCCCTTACGTCGCCTGCCGCGCAGCATCGACATTTTCTAACTACGTAAGGATCGCCGCAAGGAAGCTCCGCTGTGATTGGTTCGTGTGAAGCGGCTGCAGCAGGGACATGGACGAGGCACTATGGAGCAGAGAGCTTCAAGCTTCGAAGGAACCAAAGGAAAAGTAGTTTGGGCTCAGAGCCTGATCTACAGGAGACTGTGGACTAGAGTTCTGTTGCATATCTAACATATATATAACTTATATCTAACATATATATAACTTATATCTAACATATATATAACTTATATCTAACATATATATAATTTATAAACTGTTCCTGTCTTTGTTTGAATCGTAGCTGCGTCTGTTCCATTTCTCCTGCTCTTATAAATTGTTCATGTTTGTCTCAGATATTTACCACTTATTGTTTTGCTGTTTGTGCTGAATACACTTTAATAATAACTATGTTTCCAACAAGAACTGTGTCTTTATTCACGTCACAGTTAAATGAGTTGAAACGATGAGTTTAGAACTATCACATAAACCTACAGTAGAAACACGTGTAATGATCTCAAACAGCTCGGTTTGTTCATGTTTTTGTTCTGAAGAGGAGAAAGTAGCAGCGTTAATGGGACCGCTTTGGTTTCTCAGGCAACTCCTGTGAGATCGCCATCATGTGGTTGGTTGTGGGATTACAACATTCTCCTCAAAACTCCGCAAGGAGTATTAATTAAATTGTGCTTGCGGAGGTCCACCGCGACCGCTAACGTAAGCAGCGCCGCGCAAGTATACACTAGGCTTTATATTGCTCTGATACGATCTGGCTTTTGCACACAGGTGTGGCATGGAAAGGAAACAGTGTCATTTTATTCACATTTATGGATTGACCGCAGCTGATTTTGTTGCTGTAGTTCCCTCTCTTCTCTGTGCAGGTGGATTCACACAGGTGCCACCTCCTGGAGCGGCCCATAGGCTCCGTGTGGTCCAGAAGGAGGGGAGGGACACAGGGGGAGGGGAAGGACACAGGGGGGGGGGGGGCACAGGGGTAGGGGATGGTCCGGGTAGTGCTCAGGGCCCTGTCGGCCTGGAGGTCTGAAAAAGTGGCCTCACCTGCTAAAAAAAAATTAAAAGGAAAAAATGTATCACATTTCACACTGTAGGCAAACCCTCTACTACTAGTACTACTACTACTACTACTACTATTACTACTACTACCACTACCACTACCACTACTACCAGTACTACCTTTTAAATAATCACAGTATTATCTAATCTGTTCCATCTTCTCTCTCTCTGCCCACTGCTTTTGCCTTTAATTCATAACTGATATTTTTGTGAATGGTTAAACAAATATGACGCAGTAAAAACCAGTACGTTCTAATCTGTTTCTTGTTACAGTGAAAGTGGGGCCTCTCTAAAGCAAGTCCTGGAACCAGTTGGTTTGGTTTCATACATACTGAAATTGAGCCAAAAAAAGAATAAAATGTGAAGTTATATTTTGTCTTCCTGTTGCGATATCGTCCAATAAGCAGCTCCCACACGTTCTGACGGGTGTGAATCCAGAGCGGTTGCAGACTGTTGCCTTAAGATCAGTATCAAAGTGGAAATATTTAAACCATTTTGAGAAAACATTCGTTCTGGCCGCCTGACAACACAAACTCCCGTCTGCGCTCGTGCATACAAAGGCTTCATTATCGTTGGAGAGACTTTCATATGTGTCACGCTACTACCTCCAGTTTGGAAATGAGCAAAGACCATAAATCAGGAAGTGTTCTGAGAGAATGACGTCTGAATCAGAAAGAGTTTCAACGTGGCTTTAATGTGTGTTTTTGCTTATTCTTGATATTAGGTAGATTTTTATGTCATGACTTATTGTTATTTTTACTTTGTATTGTTTGTTCCGAGAGTCAAAGCCATTTCCCAGTTTGTGACTTCTTGTTTCTCACATGGCAAAAAAAACAAAAATCTGATTCTCATTAACACTAGAACTCACAGAGCGGTCCGTTTGACAGATTTTTGTTTAACTTTTTCTGTCTCTAAAGCAATGTGACTCTGGTCTGTGAATGGGGCAGTATGAATAAAACATTAACATAACCAACATTCTGTGGCAGTTAAAGCCTGCTGGTCCTGGACTGGTCCTGGACTGGTTCTGGGCCAAGTCCGCTCGGTTTTACACCAGAGAAAGGACCATGATTACCATAGCAACACATTGTTTACTTGCAGCAGTCAGTATGAAGGCTTTCAATCAACTGTTTTGTCTGTATTTCTGTGAAGTTCACTCGTTTCAGCACTTATTAAAAGTGAATGAAGGTGAAGCTCTAATAAATTACTTACATTGAACAAATCTGGTGGAAAACAAAACGTTTTGCTTGGTTTTCAACAAATTCTTTTGGTTTGAATGGGTGAATGAAGTCAAAAAGTCGGCTCTCGCAGTTCTCATAGTGTCATCGTTCTGGGAGTCCGTGTTAATAAAATAAGACATAAAAGAAAATTCACAAATCAGAAAACAAGCTCCAGACAGAGACTGATCCATGCTGCTTTTAAATAATAAACACACATTATTTACATTAACGTATATATTTACAAACCCAATCCTCGCTGCTCGTCTTCATGCACCAAACATGAACCGGAGAGTCCTAAAATAATCCCATCTCCAGTTGGTTGTTCATTGTGGTGTTTATATCTCGTGGCTCTTCTCTGACCTCTCCTCGGCCGCTAAAGTGACTCATGTTTACATCTGTCTCTGCTGATTTGACCCTGGGGAGGTCTGTTCACGCTGCACCTGGACGCTTCAGCTCCAAACCACCTCCAGGACCCACCAGACCTAAAATAAGATCACAGAAAATGGCCTCTAATGATCCCGCTGTTGAATCCCTCACTTTGAAATGACGTTTGCATTTGTTGGGAGCTGTCAGCGAGTGCTAATGGAAACTGAATTATCAAAACTGTTTTTTTCCTCTATGTTAAGCAGGACGACACTAGGGAGCATTTAGAGCCTAATGTGAGTTAAGTGCCTTTGCTCGGCTCCTTCTTCTACAACACTAAAACTACACAGCGCCTTGTATCTGATCTATTCCATACGTACAGAGTCAGACTGTACAACAAACATGGACAAGTCTTCTGCTGCTGGACACATGAATTTCTCCAACAGGGGATCAATAAAGTGTCTGTCTATCTATGTCTATCTGTCTATCTGTATCTGTCTGTATCTGTCTGTATCTGTCTGTATCTATGTATCTGTCTGTATCTGTCTGTATCTATGTATCTGTCTGTATCTATGTATCTGTCTGTATCTGTCTGTATCTATGTATCTGTCTGTATCTGTCTGTATCTATGTATCTGTCTGTATCTATGTATCTGTCTGTATCTGTCTGTATCTGTCTGTATCTATGTATCTGTCTGTATCTGTCTGTATCTGTCTGTATCTGTCTGTATCTATGTATCTGTCTGTATCTATGTATCTGTCTGTATCTGTCTGTATCTATGTATCTGTCTGTATCTGTCTGTATCTATGTATCTGTCTGTATCTGTCGGTGTCTGTCTGTATCTGTCTGTATCTATGTATCTGTCTGTATCTGTCTGTACTGTATGTATCTGTATCTGTCTGTATCTGTCTGTATCTATGTATCTGTCTCTGTCTGTCTGTGTCTGTATCTGTCTGTGTCTGTCTGTCTGTCTGTCTGTCTGTCCGTCCACATAAACACATCTGATGCTACTTGTTTGTCTGCTTTAAATATTTTTGAAGCAGAAATCAGATGCTGTCGTTCAAGCAAAAAATAACGTCATTATTCTGTTAATATGTTTTAGAAGTAAAACCAACGTGGATTGAAAGACACGCAATTTTTTTCTAAATCTTTGCGTCTGGACTCGACAGCCGTCACATGTTTGTTTGAAATTACGTTTGCATTTGTGAGGAGCTTTCAGCGACTGCTAATAGCAATTGAATTATCTGTTATTTCTCTCTACGTTAAACAGGGCGACACTCGGGAGCATTTAAAAGCCTAATGTGAGTGAAGTGCCTTTGCTCCGAGCCCCATTTAAGACGTTCCAACAGTGTTTTCTCACACACAGTTGACTACACTGATGACAAGCATGCACACATGTCTGCAAAGGCTTTCATCAGACACAAGAAGGAGAAGAAATTAAATAACTTTACTAGATTTAACACATTTTACAGATTAAATGAAATGAAGTTTAGCTTGGTAAATTTTCAACATTGTTACAGATCAGATTCATTTATTTGCCATTTGCAGTAAAACCACATTGGAAGACATCCCCAAAAGCCCCCAGTGTGCACAAGACAGCTACATAAACAAAATAGGGTTAAAAGTACATAAAACCAGAAACAAGAGCAGAAGAAATAGTAGAAAGAGAGACTGAAAAGGAGTCGGCTGAAGCTAATTGTTATTTTGCCCTTTTTACAGTGTCATTAGTATGAGTGAATATATAATAGGATTTACAGAAGCAACTGTATAAACATCAACCTTCTGAGTTCATGTAGCCATCATGAATTATAGTTTTAAAAAATGTTTTCAAGTGGAAAAGTGAATGACATGATTTAAGTTCATCCGTGCATTGTTTCTAGAGATTCAGAGTGGATAAAGACCAGAGATTTTGAATTAATTAAGCCAAATAAAACCTCCTGTTTGTGATCCCCTCCCTCCCCTCATTAAAAATCCCTAGCTAAACTTTTCATTATTTAATAACAGCTAAATTGCTCCAGCGTTAACATATTATAAAGCTAGCAAATACACAAGATAAATCTTTATAAGAACGTAATTAAGGTTCCAAAATATACTCAACAAGAAATGAAAAGCATATCATATGGTTTTATCCGGGTTATGTGGCAGCATTTATGCGAAACACTGAAATTGCGTGTTCAACTACATTTCCCATGATGCGCCGCTTGTCGTGACGTCATAAACCGGCGCAAGGCTGATCTGGCGTTTGAGAGGAGGTAAATATCCGGACGCAAATCTATTTATTTAACGTTTCCACAGAGGAATCCAGCACTTTATGGGCTTGTGTGTTCAAGTAACGTTACGGTACTGGGTGAACTGAATCACCTTTTTACATTTTATCCATGAGTTAAGTCTGTTTATATCGAGATGCTAACATGCGGAGCTAATGCTAACCAAGCCAACCCCTGCTGTCCATCCCCGCTCACATGCTCGTGTCCCCCGCAGGTCTCTTGCCTCTGACCATGACTAAACTGGTGGAGTGGTTGGTTGGGGTCTCCCTGGTTCTGGTGGTCTGGGCCGTGGTGTCCTTCGACCTGCTGGAGCTGAGCCTGCCGCCCTCGTACCGGGAGGTGGCCTGGCCCATGCCGCTGTATCTGCTGGTGTCGTTCGGCTGCTTCTCTCTGGCCACAGTGGGATACAGAGTGGCCACGTTCAACGACTGTGAAGACGCGGCCAAAGAGCTCCGTGAACACATCAGAGAAGCCAAAGAAGACTTGAGGAAAAAGGGATTAAAGATGTGAAAGTTTTGCAGAAGTGACTGACGGGATGTGGGACTCCCCTGGACCAATGCTGTGCTGAGAATGTTACTAAAATGAGTGAAATAAGTATATTTTGTAAAGAGAGCTCGTATAATGTGATATCACAACTGAGCTGATGAGTAGTTTTCATTATTCCATGGACTGAAATCAATATTATTTGGTTTTCTGCTTCATTATGAGGACCCTGTTCTCAGGCAAAGATTCATATTTTGTTTTTCAGTTGTTCAACAATCCTTAACATAATTCTTACTCAAACCCATGAACGCAATGGGTGTAATTTGAGGTACGTACAGATATAGGTTAGGGTTTGGTTTGTTGTTATAACAAGTAAGAAAATGTATTTTTTTAAAGGGCAAAAGTCCTCAATGTGTTTTATGATGTTTCTGGTTGAGGGTCTGCTTTCTGCTTGTTTACTTTGACTAGTTTTCTTTGTTTAAACACTAAACTAAACAGCACCTTGTATCTGATTTATTCGATGCACATTTGCGATGAACAGATCTGACGTTACCTGTTTGTCTGCATTAAATATCTTTGAATGAGAAAGCAGTCAAAGTAAATAAGAAGCTGACGTTCAAGCAAAAAAAAATACCTTCATTATTTTGTTATGTTAAAGAAGTAAAACCAAAATCCGTTGCAAATATATGTGTCTAGACTCTGCAGCCGTCACATGTGTCACAGGGATGTTTTCTGTCGTATGTAAAAGTATGTAGAGATTTTTATCTGAAAACGTACATTCCTTTGTCCACTTCCTTCAGGCTGTTCTTTAGACGTTCATTAAAGGCTATTTTCTCATGTTATGTCCATGTGTTCTGTGTTGAAAAAGGGATTTTCACAGAGACAGATCAAGCATAATCTTAATGAATGAATATATATATTTAACCATAATAATAACAACCATATTTCTGAACATGTAGAATTGTTTACTCCAGTCCGATGTTCTTTTTGTTTATCTGATGTTGGTGAGTAGAGCTTTCTTTGTGTTGCTTCTAAAAGGCTGCTCTCATTTTCCTTCAAACAAAGCTTTGTCGAACCAAAGGTATCATTACACGGTTTCAAAATCTCCGTGTACCGAACAAAAGTATAACAAGTGTCTTTTCCGTCTGATATCAAGCCTCGCAACATCAACCCCCCGTGAATGTCTGCAAGCTGTTGCTGGAGCAGACCATGAAAGCCAACCTGTTATTTACCAGAAAATCTTCCACTTTTGGCACTTAGACCAAAGGCTCGTCTGTCTGCTGCTCTGCTCCGACTCGTAGCCACATGTGAAATGGTTAATCATTCTCCTTTGTCATTATCCGCCTCAAAAACTATCACTGAATTGAAAGTAACCGATCCGTCTGCTCTCACAGAAGGGGAGTGGTATTTATAGACAGTGGTAAACAAGGATTTGTGTTTTTATCCTTTTTGCCAGACTATAGAAGTGAGCTTTGTGCATTTTCCCTGTAGATATTGTTTATACGGGAAAAAAGGTAATCTGACATGAGATGACCTCATAAAGCGGGAGTATTTTGGCAACAGATGATAATGAAAGGGTAAAATGAAATTCCTACACAGCATTTTACGACTCTGACAATGCAGTGGAATTGATTTAACCCTTTAATGTTCACTCCTTGGAGAAAGTGGTTTCATTTTTGTTGTTGGAATTTCTAAGTTGTGAGAGCAACAATAACAAAGCAATTATTAACAGGCTTGGTTGAGATGCAGTTTGGAGGTAAAAGTGCCTAAAACCAAGTGATAGAGATGTCCGAATGAAAGACAGTGACTCAAAATGTGATCCTCAAAATGGTTGAGCAACACATTACAGGGTTAAAGCTCGGGTACCTGACTTTCAAACCTCAAACGTCATAGAATCCATGACACTAGTCGCTGGATCTGAAAAGAGTCACAAAAACATGCGTGTGTTTTTAGCCTGTATCACGTCAAGCTTTTTTCTTTTTTCTTTTTTTCTTTAAAGTATAATAAAATGTTACAGATCTTTCAGTAAAACATGTTAACATTCATATTTAATGATGAATGTGTGGACTAAAGGTTAAAGCATCACATTTAATAAATAGATAATGATACCTAAAAACAGATAAAAAGATAATTCTAAAAGTACCAAACAATAGTTAAGTACATAAGGATATTTCTTAATTTTTATTATACAAATAACACATTTTTTTCTTCAAAAAAATCTTCTAATGTCCGTCCGTCCGTCCGTCCGTTTTCTTCCGCTTCATCCGTTGCCTGGTCGCGGGGGCAGCAGTCTAAGCAGAGACGCCCAGACTTCCCTATCCACACACACCTCCTCCAGCTCGTCCGGGGGGACTCCAAGGCGTTCCCAGGCGTTCCCAGGCCAGCTGAGAGACATAGTCCCTCCAGCGTGTCCTGGGTCTTCCCCGGGGCCTCCTCCCGGTGGGACGTGCCCGGAACACCTCCCCAGGGAGTTGCAAAATAATAATAATAAAATAAATCTCTCCTGAACAGAACTTTAATGAAGAATAAATACTGGTTTATACGTGACGACAACAACAAACAAGTCCGAACCAAAAGAGTTTGTTTGAGCCTAAACTGGACGATAAAGAAGGATTGTACTTATATTTACAAATTTGTTAGTAATTAAAATTAAATCTTGGTTTTCTTGAGAACCAATTCAGTGTATCATGATCGCCATAGTGACATAATACCATCAATGCATCAATTTAGCCATAATACTTAAAAATGTAGACCCGTGTTTACATGAGGCTGTAAACAAAACACAACATTTCTGGCGACAATTTGACAATTTCGAGGTTTTTTACTTTGTTCACTCAATCCCTCAAAATGCTTCCAGACGGCAGATCACTTCTTCAACAACTCTGGAAAAAAGTCTGTTTTGGATTTGAAAACATTGGCCATTTGTGTCCACCTGCTGCTCCTGCTGAGTGCGAAGTGTGAGATTGAGGAGACCGGAGTGCGGAGGTCTGTCCCCGGTCTCTGCCTCTCTCTCTCTCTCCAGAATAAACCCTGGACACTATAACAAAAAATCTCAGACGTGCACTGACACCGCTGGGAGCAAATCCACCTCGACGGGCTGAGAACCGCGGTGCACTGACAAATGAACGGTTATGATTTCTGCTGCGAAGAATGAAAAAGACATGCATTTCCCCTGGCCTCTCCCCACCCACACTATTCACAGCAAAACCTCAGCACACACCGAGACATGGAGGAGATGGATGAATGCTCGGGTCTGATGTAGAGGCAGATGGAGCGGGCTGCGGTAATGATAGAGCCAGATGATGACAAATAAAGACTTTTCAGACAAGTCAAAACGTTCAAAACACAAACAGGAAACCGGAGCATGACTTGGAGCGAGATGGATGACCCCGATTTGGAGTCCTGATGGCAGCGTCCCAGAATGCACTTTAAACCGACACGCACACACACACACACACGCGCACATACAGAGGTGATTCCCTGCCCATGCCCCCGCTGACCTCGCCTCTACAGAGATTTTACAGCCACTTAAGAGAAATGCATTTGGATATTGTGCCAAAAGCCTTGCCCCGGTCTCTGCCGAAGCTATTTCAGTCTCAGAGTCAGACAGAAGATTTTAGAGGTGCAACGGTTCATCACTGATCCGTGATCCGTTCGGTTCAACGTCTTCGGTTCGGTACAGACGTGATCCGCGGTTTGATTTATGAAAAAAAAGTTGTGCGCACGTTGTTCAGTCCACACACAGCGCGGTCATTGCGAGCGGAGGAACGGAGATGCTTGAAAGCCCTGCGTCATTTAAATCCCCAGTATGAGAGCATTTTGGCTTCACTGTAACTACACTGATAATTAATATTCGACAAAACTGTCACGATGTGTAAGCACTGTGGCACAAGAAAGACATGAGTGAAAAAAGCGTCTCAACGACCACCTATTGTCGCGGCATTTAAGCAGCTCCTTTACGCACAGTCAGACCGGGCTAAAGTCAACTCTCCCGCGCATCCTCAGCTCAGCTCACGACTGACGCTTGGACGTCCCGCGGAACCTATAATAGATCCATGAGCGGAACCGCTCACTTCATCACCGCAGACTGGGAGATGAAAAGTCTGGCGCTGCAGACACGCCCCCTCTACGACAGTCACACTGTCACACAGCGCAGGTACTGACACAAGCAGCGGAGGAATGGAAGACAAAGGCCCAGTACTAATATCCCAGTCACAACTGATAATGCCAAAGATTAAATAAATGCAGTGAATGAGGCTGGGCCCAGAATGGACCCCCTCCTCGGGAGAATCAGGAAGGTGGTTTAATATATGAGGGTAAATATCCTCATAAAGTGCCTTCTTATGTTGCACTTTGTGTTGTTTTTCATTAATTATGTTAAATAGACATAATTGGATGGATGGAATATGCCATCCATCCATCCATCCATTTCCTTCCCCTTAATTCATTTCTAGGTCAGGGGGGGCAGTCAGAGCAGGTGCCGAGTCCACATGAGCTGTGTTTATTAAAAAGACAACACTTTTTTTTTGAAAAATGAACCGAAAAATGAACCGAACCGTGGCCTCTGAACCGAGGTACGAACCGAACCGTGATTTTTTCAAACCGTTGCACCCCTAGAAGATTTACATGAGACAAGAATGTATTGCGTTACGTTTACTGCATTATTAGCTTCATGCTAGTACACGGGATGTTGGACATAGGTTTGGCACTTTTGGTTCACTTTGGGGTAAAAATGCTTTCCTTGTGGACCTAGAAGGACCAAAAATGTGTCCACTGCATTATTCAAATTGAGCGTCTGTATCTTGTTTGTTTTGTTATGATGTATGAAAAATATAAGAAATAATCACTTTCTTACTAGTCACTTAAGCCATTTAACATATTTTTTTAAGCGGATCTGAGAAGCAGTATCTCCCAAAGTGAACAAAAATGGCAGAGAGCTACTCATTATGCAGTCGTAATTAAACTGTAATCTATGTAATAACTGCGGGATATTATGGACAACAAAATGTACCATAAGACTTTAGAAC